TTTAGGTTTGCTTAGGGTACATGCTGAGACCTTGTCTCAAAAAATACTTCTCATGTGTCTGTGGTATGTTCAGTCATAAATGAGACATCTGTATGACACCCATTTACCCAAGACTCAGGGATCATTGTGGATAAGAGGGTGGACATATATGAGAGTCAGAGGTTGCTGAAGATGGGTGAAAAATGGCAGGCCCATTGCACTTGTCAATTCATAGCATCTCTGGTTACCTGCACAAGACCTGTACAAGATCAGTCCAGTCAACATTCTAGTATAAACAGTGGATGGCCAATGGAGCTGCCACCCCAACTGAGCACTGTTTACTTCGATGGCTGCTAGGAGAGGGAGAGTCAATTTTCTTTAGGGGTATATGGTCCATGGTAAATTGATCATGTTCTAGTGGATGGTCTCACACCCATGTGTATATGGGCAGCGCGAATTGAATCCAGTGGGCTATTAATAAAAAACAAGGAAAAAAATGAACATGACGTTGAGAGGAGGTGGGGGTAGATCTATGAGAGTAGGATGAACATGATCAAACCACACCATATGCACATTAAAGATGTAATTCTCATAGGGATTATTTCTTCCCCCTTGCAGATGTGAATCTGGTTACACTGGACAGCACTGTGAAAAGACGGACTTCAGTATTCTCTATGTAGTGCCAAGCAGGCAGAAGCTCACACATGTTCTTATCGCAGCCATTATTGGAGCTGTACAGATCGCCATTATAGTAGCAATCGTCATGTGCATAACAAGGTAGGTAATGACTGTAGAATGCCGACTTTAAACTATGCACAGGAAGTTGTAAATCAAAGAGAACCCTTAAAAACATATGCCCTGTGCGAGGGGCTGGCTGTAAGCTGGCCAATCCATCAGGTGCAGTTCCAATGTCTGGTCTACTGGACAAAATTTCTATGTGGGTCTGACTTCTCCCTGTCTTGCTTCTTTAGAATATGTTTAGGAATTCATTCCCAGAGCTAGGGACATATCTGGTTTATAAGTAGAGAAGGTGTGAGAACAATCCATGAAATCAAGGAGGGTAGGGATCTTAGAACTGTATACTAGGACCACTAAATTCAGGGACAGTGGTTGTAGCAGTTTCTGGAATACATTCAAGGAAGGGCCGTACAGCTTTGCTTTAAGTCTTGCAGAATTATGTTTTATGGTCTGAAGATATATCTATATCTACGTATATGTATAATCTGTAGTAAGTGTAGTAAGAAAACAACCATCAGCTTTAAAGATGACTTCTGATCACATCATTCAATCAACATTACTTCCTATTCCTCATATCAGTATTAAGTAAAAGGTTTTAAAATGCTGTGTTAAAAATAAAGGCACAGGGGCCAAGATGGCCCATTGGGTAAAGACTTGCCACCAAACTTGATTGTCTGAGTTTGATCCCTAGAACCCACATGGTAGAAGGAGAGAATCAATTCCTCAAAGTTTCTTCTGATACACACACACACACACACACACACACACACACACACACACGTTAAAAAAAGGCATTTATTACATGTTAAAAGACTTATTTGCAGTGCAATTGACAGTAAATGGGTGTTCTTCAAACTGAATAGAAATGTGTCAGACCAAACTAGAACTTAAAAAGCCAGAGCAGAGTGCCCTGCCCTCCCATCTCCAGTCTGAACCTCTTCCTCGCCTTTTCCTACCTCCTTTAAGTTTTGGTTCTCATGTTACATGAGCATTCTCTTTGTATTCTCCTGCTTTTGTGGGGACAGAGAGTCATAGCATACAAGTAGGTATTGACAAACTGATTGGATACACAGGCCTTCTGTGCAAGGCCTGGAAAAAGACCTGCAAGTAGTCCTAGCACACCCTGGAGCCAAAATGATAAATCTGGAAACGTTGGAAACATGCTCACTGAGTAGCTAGTGTTTTTTGTGAAGTTTAGGCACTAAAGTCAGTATGCTTTATTCCACAGAACAGATGATCTGCCTTTAGGCAAGGCTACTGAGCATAAAATTGGGCCGTAGATCAAAGTAGGGACATAATGGCATAACAAACAATGACAACAGGAAAAAAAGATGGGGGGAAATATTTAACAGCCTAGTAGCTGTGGCCATTTAATACAGGCTCAGAGGTTAAATACTTTGCCTGTGGCCATTCAGCTAGCAAAGGGGGTTGGATTCAGTGCTGCATGATTCTTCAGTCATTCCTCTTTCAATTGAACCATCTAGAGGGAGGGCTGTGCTGAGTCCTGTTGGGAATAGGTTAGCCAGATATGACTGCTGTGTGGGGGCAGGAACCAAACTTGCTTTTGTCGAGGTTTCGTGTGTTTGAACCATATTAAAGGTCATGTGCTTGGACTGGGGAAGATGTGTGATAAGGAGAGACCATTTAGGGCATTAATAAAGGAATGGACACCATGGTAGGGAGAAGAGTAACACTGTCCTGACATTTGTTCCAAGGAAGGGACACATTTACTGTAATATAAGGAACACACTCCCAAATGGCTTGCCGACTTGTATGTGGAATATTGTGATTACATTCTTGGACCACACCACTGAATTTTTAAGACATGCCTCTCCTGTGTAGTCCATTAAGGGGCAGCTATTCATCCACAGTGGCTGTTGCTTGTGAGGAATCTTCCTTTATAAATGGATGTTCCTACTGGCCCACTTATCTGTGAGTCGTGTTTTCTTCTTTTATGCTTGGAATCTTCTTTTATGTTTTTAGACTCCTAGAATGACAGATTGGCAGGGACTTTGAACATGCCTCAGCCAGACTTTTTACTGAATAGAAGAAAAAACCTTGGTCCCAGGAACTTGGAACTCCTCCCGGTCATGGTGGGTTAGTGGTAGTTAAAGCCAGTTGATCAGCCTGTCAGCCAACTCCTTCATTTATGAAGTGGATATGATCCCAGCCCTGTCTACATCAGGCTATTTTTATAAGGATTAGTGAGAGAAAATCCTTTGAAAACCGTCAGAAATGTTGTCATTAAGGCTTTTAAGTTAAGTTGAAACAGTCCTCTTTGAAACTGAATAAAAGCATGCTCTAATGAAACTGAACATTAGAGCAAAGGAACTCATCCCCAGACACTGTTTCCACCAAGGGGCATTGGATTTGCACACAGTTACCGCTACCACCATAGGATCCAAACTCAAAATGACCAGCATTCATCTAAGTACCTTTACTCTGCATGATATATTCTGTCTGGGGATTCATTCCGTATTAGGGTCACATTTACTGTAATATCACAGCAGAGTCCAGGGATCTCTCACGCGCCATTCTGTGGCATGCTGCAGCTGGGTATACGCCAGCTGCTTTTGAATCTTTTCCTTGAGTTAGAGAACTTCTGTGCACTCTGCCTAAGATTATCAACCCGGTGCTACTCGGTCTCCAGCTAAGCTTTTCTTGTTTGGGGCTATGATAACTCCCCGGGTCAGCACTTTTTTCTACCATCACAGCAATCTGTTACCGGAACTGAGCAGCCGCCAGGCCAGAGAGGCAGACGTCCTTCTCAGACATGTGTATCAGCAGTGCAGGCTCTGTTCCTAACTCAAGAGTGTGATCCCTCCCAACTCCCTGCTATTTAGCAAAGGACAAACAGCCATTATGTCTGTCCTCGTCTTGCCTTGAGTTAAACAGCGTCTTGTTTCGTTTCCTAACTAGGTGTAGTGTGTGCGCTCTGTGTTACTTTGACATAGTTTAAACATCCTTAACTAAATGACTTTTTTCCTCTCCTTTCTGTATTTTCATGGAACAGAAAATGCCCCAAGAACAATAGAGGACGCCGACAGAAGCAAAACTTAGGTCATTTTACTTCAGACACTTCATCCAGAATGGTTTGAACTCCTGACTTTTATATGCACACTGACCATGTGATGTACATTTATTATGTCTTTTTTTAAAGAACGGAAATATTTATTTCAGAGGCCTTATTTTTGGACATTTTTAGTGTAGTACTGTTGGCTCGTATTTAGAATATTTAGCTACTGCAGTTTTGGACTGTTTAGTAGTCTCTGTTTATGTTTTTAAATACAGAAATTGATTTCACGAATTTGTACCACATGGTAATACTAAGAATTGTTCTTTACCCACGGAATGTAATATTTTTGCAAAGACGGATGGACCCACTTCACAGTGGCTATAGTCATACTTTTCCCCCCAGTGACCACAGCAAATGGCAAAGCATGAACTAAAAGGAAAGATGTTTACAGATTACTTTTCTTACAAAAATAAAAATCTAGAAGACACTGTGTTTAAATAGATATTTAACTGTTTTTGAGATTTAGTACCTGATTTTTTTAGACATTGCCCCTATTGCATGAGTTGCAAAGCTGTGTGTGTGTTAGATGTAACATATTTATAAGTTGTATGGACTGGAATTGACACTTTCTCTCTTTGAAGACATAATTCTAATAATTTGAAATGATACCTGGGAATTAATGATGGAACAGATCATTGAAAATACATTGTCAAGATATGCTATTTAATGAGCAGATTGGGATAAAACCTACATGTCAGTTAAACTACTTTAATACACATTCATTTTTAAACATGGTATTTGTTTTAATATAAATATACAAATTGTATCAGTGTTTGTGAATACAATGCAGAAATAATTGTTAATGATTGGTGCTCTGAAAGTGAGCTTAAAATGACCTAAGACCTCTAATTCAAATTTGTCCTGTAGTAGCTCTATTAATAGATTGTTGGTGTTTAAAGGTCTGAAATGTGAGTAGAATGTATCAAGGTGTTTAATGTGTAGTTTGGCTAGTCAAAATTATGCATGTAGAATTTAAAGACTATGTTCAAACTTAAATATTAATTTTAATAATTTGATTTGGAAAAGCATGTTATAATATAATGTTTTCACTATATGGTCTGTTTTGTGTGTTTATTTCTTGTATTCTTTGGTATTGCTCTATTAGGTGGAATTGTAATGGGTGAGATCAATAGGAAAAGAAGATTGCAGTCCAAAATTTCTCTTTGCTTATACAAGCCATTACTTGAAATGATCCAAAGAGAAAAACTTTGCCCTCTGTTTGGAGCTACTTGGCTTATTGGCTTTATATGAGTACCATAGTGGCTTTAGTGAACTTCTTCACACAACTTTCCCTTTCCACCCACACAGTTTTATTTGAGGCCCTTAGTCAGTAGGCAAGCATGTTTGGAACTGGCCCCAGTACTTTGCAAGGGCTCGTGTTGCAAGGCAGTCACGGATGGGCATTTGTAGTTATAAATACTTGACCACTCTCCAGGGTGTGGTTTTCAGTCCTTTAAAGCAGCTAAGTTGCCTGCTACCAAGCCGACTTTTGGCTTCCAGTGTAGGAATTGATTGCTGTAGGACAGCTTTGCTGAGGAAGAGGTAAAATGGAACACAATGGTTCTGCTTCCAATGCTAGCAAAATCCACCAGAATCAATTGTCAAGTATGACTGAAGATGAAGACCAAGATGCTGCTCTTACGATTGTGACTGTGCTGGACAGGGTGGCCACAGTTGTGGACCGTGTGCAGGCAAGCCAGAAGAGAATAGAAGAGAGACACAGGGAAATGGAGAACGCTATAAAGTCTGTTCAGATTGACCTGCTGAAGCTCTCACAGTCACACAGCAACACCGGCTATGTCGTTAACAAGCTGTTTGAGAAGACCCGGAAAGTCAGTGCTCACATTAAAGATGTGAAGGCTCGGGTGGAGAAGCAACAGATCCATGTAACCAAAGTTGAAACCAAGCAAGAAGAAATAATGAAGAAAAACAAATTCCGCGTGGTAATATTCCAGGTAAGCTTGCACTGTGTTCAGCTTAATGACGATAGTCTCATCCTTTGTCATATCTCAGCCATGGTCTGTGGTATGGAGTAGAACTCACTAAGTAGCCACCTCAAGATAGAGCCATTTCTTGCTAACCAATGCTCTATCATCCATGTCTTGGGCTTCTTACTGGTCATGTAATCCGAACTGTGGCTTAAGCTGTTTCTTGTTTTTGAAACTTAATACTGTCAGTTTATTATTTTTTTTTCAGCATTTGAATCCTATTAAGTACAGTGACCCAGTAGACTTTAGAGTGCTGGAATCAAAAGGGTCCTAAGAAATCTCAAGTTTAAAAACACCTTTGTTTCACAAAAGAAGAAACTGGGAAGGGCAGAGGATGTAGAATGCTCACCCTCATGACTGAGGCTTGCATTTGATATACAACTTCCCACTAAAAGAAAACAAAGCAGGAACCCCCTACCCCCCACATATACAACCATGGTTTTATTCTTATAGAGACCCTAGAAACCCAAAAAACTTCTCAGAACATATTTGCCCATTGGATTTTTTTTTTTTTTTTGTATTAGCTACAATGAGAAAAATTGCCTGTTTCTGATTGAAAAATCAGACCATTTATTTTTAAAGTTTCTGCTGGTATTTTGAAATAGTCTAGCCTGTAACCCATGCTGACCTAATTCTCACTCTGTAGTAATGTAGGCTGGCCTCAAACTGTGACAATCCTCCTGCCTCAGCCTCCCAAGTGCTAGGATTGTAGACAGCCACCACTCCAGTTTAAGTTTTACTTTTTTATATTATTCTTACAATAATACAGATATAGAAGTTCTGTAGGTAATTTCTTATTCAGTCAAAAAGCTTTTTTACTTAGCTGATTTAATAGAGTAATTGTATGCAACATTGCATTTTTCCCCCTAAGTTCCTATAACTGCTCAAAACTTTAAAATATTGGAACATATTCATGGAATATATAATGTCTACAGTATATTTTTTAAGTTCTTATAAATTAAAAGGGACACGTTAAAAAGAGTAATGATGAGAATAAAGTTTATAACTATTTTTCTTACCTATCTAAACAATGGATATTACAGAACTATAAATCCAGAGTGTAAATGTTAGAGAAGAAAGACCTTCCCTGTTCTGCTATTGGGAGAATTAGCTGGCACAACACTTTGAAAGACATTTTTGATGGTGTGTGTTATGAATTTTAAAATTTCTCATCTTCTGCCCCCCCCCAAACTTCTTGTCAGAGAATTTGTTCTAAGCATACAATCATTAATGTGTGGGGATGTTCATCAGTGTATATGCACAGCTGCATGCTTTTAAAAGTGGAAGTCCTGTGTATGAACCCTAGAAGAATAAAAAACAAAATAAAATAAGGACACAGTTGATGGAAACATCAGGGCCCATAACCTTCTTGTTCTTTGTGCATTAGTCAGTGCCCCAGAATGCTCTCTGTGAGTGGTCTAGTTATACTGAAAAGGGAGAGAAGCATTTCTGGATCTGTTTTTTAAGAGTTCACAGGTTATTGAGAAAATAGGGAGGAGAGAGATGAGGTGCTTATTTCAAAGACAGAAGAGTGGGCTGGTGTCTTTTACCATCACTCTTCCAGTCTCCTGGAGGCCTTTCTCTGAGCTTAAAAATGTCACCTGGCTGCAGCTGTCAGTTCCAGTGTTGGAACAGACAGCAGTGAGCTGGGCATGGGATTGCAGAGAAAATCCATTCGCCTTTCGGGGGTGTTAGCCGCTGCCTTGGGTGTTCACCCTTCACTTGCATGTGGTATGTCAGGAAGTACATCCTGAGCTCCACTTGTCTGGGGGTCTATATGAGAAGCAGTGGACCAGGTTTCCCACAGGATTGACAAGCTACAGCAAGGAAACAAAAATTACAGCTGGTCCCATCTATTGATGCAATTCTCTCTCTGTTTTTCTATTTGTCTCTATTCCCTGGAACTTACTGGTATTTTCCCTGTCTTTGGATCCCATAGTTCCATAAAAGAACTGAGAGGCACTGATTAGTGACGACCTCTTTTCTTTTAAGATAGACTGTCTTGAAGCATCTGTGAAATTTAGTTGTTCAAATTATGCAAGAGTTTGCCAGAAAAAAAAAGCCATTTGCTATCTTTTATAAGCATACAGGGGAAATACAAAGTCTCATGGACATAGGACTTAGATTCATGTACTTGTTATATTTTAGAATATATATAGATCTGTATAATATTTATAGTTATTTTTAGCTGTTAAGATTAGCTAAAATTAATTCTCATATTTTCCCTTCTAAATTTATTTTGAAACTCAAGCTAGTCAACTAAAGTACATAATCATTGATATTTTCCTTTAGTTTCTCCTGAGCATATCTTTTGTTGATAATCTTTTTTATTGGTAACAAGGATAAACTTGGTAACAAGGGATAATAATAACAGTATCAGATAAACAAAATATTGGTATCCTATCCTCTGCAGTTGTATAAGGCTAAGCTTTTGCCAATTTCTGCATGCTGGCATTTGAAAATTGTGTGACATTCTAGCCCAGATCATTTCTCTTTGAACCCTTGTTCACCCTGGTAACCCTTCTCATCGTGCATGGCATGAGCCACTGCATACCTTCTCATAAGCACAAGTCTGTGGTTACCAAGTAAGTTTTGAAGTTTGATAAGTCCCAGAGTTCTGTGCATCCAAAATGTCCCTATCTGTGTTACTTTCATATTAAATCTGTTCCACTTTACTCTGACCCACAGTATTAATTTTATTACAAAAACAATACTTTAAACCAGGTGTAGTGGTGTATACCTATAGTGCTTGCACTTGTGAAGTAGAGGCAGGAGGATTGGGAATTCAAATACACAGTGAGTCTAAGGCATGCCTGAGCTATGTGAGACCCCGTCTCAAAAACAACAATAAGCTAATTTTACCTGGAATTTCATATACTGTTGACTATTCAGAGTCAACTATAATTTACCCCTACAACCTTCTTCTATTAGTACAGAGTGTTTGCCCTTAACCCACAGTAGCAAGGACTCATAGAGGCTGTGATAGGCTCCCAGCAAGGTCTTCTATCTTTGCCTCTGTTACCTGTTTTTTAAGCCTGATTTTGTTCTGTCTGTGGTGTGTCTGAAGAGAAGGGTGTGAGTGCCATCTCCCTGTGTCTGATGCATTCATTGCAGGATTGTGGGGATTTCTACCTACCAAGAAATACCCTTTGGCTCTTTCCTTCTCTAATTATACCGTCTCAGGCTCACCCAGCCCACTCTGTTGCTGAGGCTGCTCCCCACAGCAGGTGCCAGGAAGGAGAGGAATAACTTCACTGGCTCTCACTGATTCATCAGAAAGTTATGAGACACCCACTTCTGCCTCTTTAGCTGGGGAGAGGGAGGCTCATAGGCACTCAGATCCTGTAGCCAAAAATGTAATTTAAACTAAGGAATAAGAGTCTAAGGATGCCTTCTTGACTATCAGGCTGGTTACGTCTTAGGGTGTGTGCAAGCATCCTCCTTGTATATTTATGGAATCTGTTGAATGGTCTCAGCCTGGATTTCAAGGATCAGTACTGACTGGTTTTGTTTGTTGTTTGTTTTTAGAAATTGTTACTCATGGTTCAGTTTTGCCTGTTGTGTTTTAGGAATAAGCTTTAAATAACATGCCAGGCTCCTTTCACCTGTGCCCCATGCTGGCCTGTCTTTATTTAGCTGGTTCTCTTCTGATACTCTTTGACTGCTTGCGCTCAGCCCCAATCTCCTGTGTTCTGTCTTCTTCCGTGGCAGAGTTTCCCTTTTTTGTTTCCTTTCTCGTGTATAGGTTCAAAATCCCCAAATGTTCTAAAATCAAAACTTAAACATTTCCTTCCTTCCTCTTCACCCCTCCCCCTCATTTCTTTCTCTAACAGGCTGGTACTGAACTTGTGATCCTCCTGCCTTAGCCTCCAGAGGACTGGGGGTATAGTCATGGACCACCATGGCAGCAAAATAAAACTAAAACTGACTCATTTCACAGGAGACTTTGCTTGACTTGACGTCTTTCTGGGAATACTATATGATCTATCGTAGTTTCCTAAAGTCAGTTTAATTCTGAATTTTGAGATACCCCTTGTCTCTGAGGAGTTTTGAATGAAATACCACTCTGTTGTCCATTATGTCTTCTGATCTCTTGACTGTGTTGTGTTGTGTGTGTGTGTGTGTGTGTGTGTGTGTGTGATGTATAAGTGTGGGCACAAGTGTGCTACAGCATGTGTATGGAATCCAGAGGAAAATTTTTGGGAACTGATTTTTCTCCTTCCTTGGGATCTAAACTCAGACCATTAGGCTTGCTTGGCAAATACTTTTTACCTACTGAGCCCGAATACTATCCCCATGCCTTGCTTTTTTACATTGGTTTGGGGGGTTGAGCATGAGGTAAATCTGCAACTGAGATCTCTCTAGTGCAAGAGTTTCATGACTCTTAATTTCACCCCTGTGTTAATGGTTCTTGAATGCATATTTCTAGCCCTTACCTCCCTCCTGACTGGAGGTTGCATACATAGAGCCCATTCCAAAGACGGTGTCTCACCTTCCCTTTTAGGTTCCTCGTCTTGCTTCTGTGCCTGTCTCAGTTAATGGAAGATCCCTCCCTCTGCTGATCTAGCAGCAAGTCCTGTGGGTTCTGACCTTCAAAGCATATCTGCAGTCAGAAGACTTCTCACATCTTCCCCTGCTAACACATGCCTCCCCAATCTACCTTCCTTTGCCTAAATGCAAATGTCCTGTCATTCTCCTTGCTTAACTTACCCTGGCTTGCTTTCAGTAGAGTGACCCTTGTACAGTATGGGTCAAATCATGGCTCTGCTGTCCTCAAAACCTTGAGAAGTTTTCTGTCAGAATAGTAAATTGTGTTGGCCATGGGGCCTCCTTGACCTGGCCTTCTTAACTCTGTACTTAGGGGAAGTTGGGACATTTGAATTGATTCTTGAAGAAAGCTATCATTTGTAAAGTTGAAAAAGGAAAAGGGGTATTGAAGATAGAAACAGCCACATAGATGAAGGTGTAGATGATGAGTGTTTACTTGACACTGAGATATGCTATCTGCAAATATGTTGGGCAACACCCATAGTTATCCTGGGGTTTATATCCAGGATGCCATAGGGTGGACTCTTCTTGTATAGAGGGTTCAAAATCTTTTGTGTTTGAGTACCTTGAGAATGGTGCGTATTTCTGGGCTGGAGAAGAGGGAAAGTAGGGTCAGTTCAAGAACAACTAAGCATCCTGTATGGTTCGGGTCTTCTCCTTGAGCACTGATGGACGCTTGGAAGTCTTCATTGAGATATAACCAGACTGTGCTATTAAAATGGTTCTCAGGAAATTGTCAGATAATAGTCTAGAAGGAGAGGGGTTGGAAGAGATTGATGGCCCAAGTTCAGACCTGAGGTCATTAGGAGCCGAATTAAGAAATGTGTGGAAGAGCACTATTATTGATAGAACTTGATGACCAGTTGATGATGGAACAAGAGGGGGAAGACGTATTTGGGAGTGATAATTCTGAGGTCTCTGCCTTGTGCGGCCCCCATATGGTCACTGGTGCTGAGAGAGAAAGGGGAGGAAATACATGTGGAGAACACGATGGGGGAGGGGCTTAAGATTTGCACCTCTAACTGAAAGGTGCCTTGCTATATCCAGACGGACAAGTCTGTCATCTTAGAAGTGGAGAAGCAAAGAAACAGCATTTGTGAGAAGAAGGCCAAGGTGAGAGAGAGCCTGAGAAATGTAGCCTGGGGACAAACAGCATGGAGGCGGGTTGGAGGTGAGGCCACAGTAAAAGCTGATGCCTGCCACACAGGAAGCACTCACATGTCGCTCTTCTGTCCTTTAGGAGAATATCCAGTGCCCCTCATCCCTGGCTGTGGTTAAAGACAGAAGCCTGCCTGAGAACCCTGAGGAGGACGAGGAAGCCTTTGATCCCCCGATAGAACTCTCATCAGATGAAGAATACTATGTTGAAGAAAGCAGATCTGCCAGGTTTAGGAAGTCAGGCAAGGAGCACATTGATCATATCAAGAAGGCATTTTCCAAAGAAAACATGCAGAAGACCCGGCAGAATTTTGACAAGAAAGTGAGTGGAATTAGAACTAGAATAGTCACTCCTGAGAGGAGAGAGAGGCTGCGGCAGTCAGGAGAGAGGCTCAGACAGTCAGGGGAGAGGCTCAGACAGTCAGGGGAGAGATTTAAGAAATCGATTTCAAATGCTGCCCCCTCAAAGGAGGCTTTTAAGATGCGCAGCCTTAGGAAACGGAAGGATCCCAAGGCTGAGGGCCAGGAGGGAGACAGAGGAATGGGTGTGGACGTCATCGCAGGTAGCCTGGCTCTGGGGCCCATACATGAGTTCCATCCTGATGAGTTCAGTGAGACAGAAAAGGAGGTGGACAAGGTAGGGGACATTCTCCAAGAAGGAGGGGACCCCCCAACTCCTGAGCCTTTGAAGGTGACTTTTAAACCTCAGGTGAGAGTAGAAGATGATGAATCGCTCCTGTTGGACTTAAAGCAGTCCTCATAGAGAGGCATTAAGTGTGAGCAGCAAGCTCAAGTCAAAATAGTGCAGTCATTTTAGTCACACACAGTAGAAAGGCAAATGTACAAAAGCTTCATTTCTTTAAAATCCTAAAGAGTATAGAGATATTATATACAATTTTCCAATGGGACTTCTATTTCCCCTGAAAATCTATGACTGACAGTTTCTTTTTTTCCCTACCTAGTGTCACACCTTTTTGTGGCAGCTCTTGGCCAATTAGAATATAGTTGCATGGCTCAGGTCAGTTAGATGCTTGGTCATCAGTGTGTGACACAGAAGTGACAAATCTATGCCCATCGTTCACCGGTAAACTTGATTGTGGTCAGGATTAACAAATCCAGTCGCAAAGGGGAGTCGCTAATAAGTGTATTGTGTTATCCAGATGTTCACATGGGGAGATTGATTAGTGAGTCAGTAGTCATACCCCTTCTGAATCTCTTGTGTGAGGGAAGGCAACTGAAGTTTGGGGCTAGAGCATTTAGCTGTGGCATCATAACTTTCTTACTAGTGAGACAGTCGGCCGGTTGCCATTTATTTCCAGTGATGGAAGCGGGGAGGGCTCGCTGGCCCTGCACTTCTTTTAGAACTGGAGATATGAGGGGATGCCACAGAGTGTGGGGACAAGACACACATCCAGTGGAGAAGCACAAACCGTTACTCAGTGCTTCTAAGCCAGAACCGAACCGTTACATCTGTGAAGACGCCCTCGGCACCAGGCAGCGAAGCCCGAGTTGAGCAGAAACTGAAGTTGTACTTTGCAAGTCTTTTAATAGCTTGAAGAGTGAACAATAAATGCATGGAGGAGCAATTTTTCATTTAAGCTGGCACCAACCTTGGATTTTTAGCTGGGTCCTAACATATTCCTTAGAGACCTGTCTTCAATTGCCTTCAGATTTGGATGTGGGGCAGACTAGTGCAGATGTGTGTATGTCATGAGTTGGAAGTCTGAGTCTGGGGCTTTTTTGTGAAGCTTTTTTTTTAAGGCCTGTCCTGATGTGGGTGTAGAAATGACCTCCGGTACTCCTATTTTCCAGAGTGAGCCTTTTAGGGCTAATGTGCCCATGAGCATTTGTCACAGCCGTTTTGCAGGGCGTCAGGTTCCAGTTGGCTCTTAGATTTAGATCTGTGCAGTCAAGAAGTACAAATTGCTGCTGGAGGAAAATCACACCAGGTCTGTACTTCCGGCGCACTGAAGGCTTTGGGTGTACTTGTGCCACCACTACCAGGCATCTTGGTGTCTTTTTATATTGCAAGCTAAAGCACGTACAGCATTGAATAAAACTCTGAAAAAATAACTCCAAAACATTTTTTTTTTTTGGTGTAACAGCTTAGAAAGAGGTTGGGTGTCCAGCAATAAATCTGAATGTGAAATGATGTTATGAAATGTGAAGCCAGAGTTGTGGTTGTAATCTTTTAACCAATGATGAATGGAAACAGCAATATGCAAATGAAGGCTGAATTAGTAAATCGAGGGAGGGTAGGGGGAGTATGGAGAGGTTACAGTTGTTGGTTTCCCGTTTGTTTCAGTTGGGCTAAAATACTTCTCTGCAAATATCTGGGGCTTTCGTTTACTGACTCAGATCCGGACTTGACATCCATGAAGCTTTGCACCCTGATCAGCTCTTCACCTTGCTCGGGTTTGTGAGGCACAGAAACCCGGAATGCTTCGTGTTGCTGGGGGCCTCATTGTAGCCCTGTGTTTCATTTTAATTTTACCACCGGGATTTTCCCTCGGCATCATGAATGTGGCCACGTCTTTGCATGTTTAGGAAGTTCCTAGATTCCACATTCATGATTTTTTGTACCTTCACCCTGTTTTATTGGTGCAAAGACAGTGGGCTGCAGAATCGAAACATTCATTTAGCATAAGGGGTTTCTAGTCGGTGTTCATTATTTTAAACATTTCCGGAAACACGAGTAGGTTATTTATTCATCTGTGATGCGGAGGCACAGATACCAGATTTTAAATAATTTACTCAAGTCAAATCCTTAGCAGTACTTACTACCCTCTCATGAGACAGAGCAGAACAGCAGCCTCAGATGCCAGGGTTGGGGAGCTGGTGTTGAACCTATTCTGGGGGTGGCAGAGGGGGCAGTGCCAGCCTGTCTCCTGCATGTGATGATCTAGGTGTTCCAAGTGAGCAGTGGCTCTTGCTTACAGGTTAGAGAAACAGGTGATGCGGAACATTAGTGTGAATGGACTTGTTCCCCAAAAGCGAGTTTTCATGAATGAAAAACAGAAGCCAAAGTAAAATACAACCATTTTGATTTTATTCTTTGCTTTTCGTACAACATTAAAGGGGTTGCTTCCGAACAGGTCTGGTGGTTGTGGTGATTCTTCTTTTTAATTAAAGGTTTATTTATTCATGTCTCTGTGTGTGAGTATGTACTTAGGTATGTGTAGGCTAGAAGAGGCCATCAGGTGTCCCTTAGCACCTGAATCTGCCCACTCGTTGTCTAGTTACCTGTTCTTTGGAGGCAGGGTCTCTTCCTGAAGGTACCATTCTTGCTTTATCATTTAGTCCAGAGGCTAGCAAGTTCTAGCTATCGCTTTTAAAGGTGAGTTTCTCCTGTGAGTACTAGGATTTGAACTCTGGTCCTCACAGTCACAGAGCAAGTGCTCATAACTGCTGAGCCATCTCTCCAACCCCTCATTGTGATTCTAATCTGCTAAAGGGCATGAGTCATGCTGTGCAGAACCTTGTTAACTGCATTTGGATTAAATGAAATCACTGAACCCCTTTTATTTTTATTCTTGGACAGGTTTTCTGTAGCTTCTGGTTTTGAGCTCTAGGAAGAAAATTTAGTTTTTAGTTGAAATCCACTGTGCACTCTCCATTCTATTCTTTGGCTACGGTTCTGCTTGCTTCTTGTGTGTTCCAAAGAGAAGCAACTCCTGATTCTTAAACATTGGTGTCCATCTTCTTGTGTATTGTTTGACACCTGAAAATTCCAGCTAAAGCAGTGCTTTGCTCCATTTAGACTGAAATAAAAGCTGCTGTAACTTGCTACACAGGCCAAGGTTGGTTGCTCAGGTGCACAGCTGTTCAGATCAGCCTTGGTTGCATAAGAGTCTCATTTCACCATGATCCTTCGGTGCTTGTCACCTTGGATCTGAATCATAGCTTAATGCATCAAAATGTATTAGGGATTTAAGATGCATTGTACAATGTATTCTCCCCCTTTTCAGGTTCTGGCTAATGGAAATGCCACACAAGGTTTCGAAGCACATTGGAGACCAAAGTGGAGTCATTACTACAGGCTTTGCATGTGTGCAAGAAATCTCCCAAATGGAGGGCAGACAGCTGACAGATTCTGTTGGTAAATGTAGTGTTCAGCCATGACAGGAGATAGGGAAACTGCATTGCTCTATAGGGCTCTGTGTCACATTGGGAAACTGCATTGCTCTAACACGGCAGCAGCAAGAAAACAAGATTCGGAGCAGGACGTCCCATTTCATCAGTTGGCAGTGAGGCCTACAGGCCTGTCACTCACAGCCACCGAGAATAGCTGGCATGGAAAACTGCCCCTCTGAGGCTTACTCCAGCTCCACCAGCAGGTGGGGAGGCTGCAACTAGGGCACAGAATCCTCTACATAGGAAAGTGGGTTCAGCTTGAAGGTATGGCCTGATTTGTTTTTGGGTCCTAATATGCAGAGTTAAAAATGTAGCCCATGGGGCTGGAGAGATGGATGACTTGGTGGGTGACACCTCGTGTTGCTCTTGCAGTATTTAGTTCCCAGCACTCACAAGGTGGCTGAGAGCCAACTCAAACTCCAGATCCAGTACTCCCTTCTGAACTTGAAGGCACCAAGTGTGCACATGTACAAATATACACACAGGTAAAACACACACACACTTAGAAAAATATTGTTTTAATGTAATCCAATGAACTTGGCTGTTATTCTGTTCTAAGGCCTGTATTGAACACACCAAACTGTGGTGCTGATCTTAAGTGAGGACCAATGGAGGAAGGCTGGCAAATTGGACATTATAGATCATAGCTTAGAGGAGAAACTGAGATGTGCATGATTTTCGGGAGAGTGGTAGTATCTCATGTATCCCAAACTGCCAAGAATTACCTTGAACCTCTGAACTTCCTGTTGCTATCCACGGCTTCATACCTGCTAGGCAAGTACTGTACTAGCTAAGCTAAAGACCAGTCTGATGTTGTGTGTTTTCATAAGAAAATCCTGACAGTTTGAAAGGAGGGGTTTTCATAGCTAACAAAATCCCAAACTGAGCTCTTCTTTCAAGGAAACTGTCTGGTTACTGTTCAACATCATTAAGTGGGAAGGACAAGGAGTCTCAGACACTGGTTCCTCAGTTCCCTCTCCCAAACTCAATTTACTTCCAGAGGAACTAGACATGACTATATGTTTCACAGTGACAGAGGTTGCTGTGTCCACAAAGGTTTGCCCACTATGTCATATTGTTAAACTGCCAGGTTCCTGGCAATCTTGTGGGCCAATAATCATCACCTATTAGGATCCCATAAGACGTTTCATCTGAGCAAGCTTTCCATTGTCAAGCCATGGTTGCATAGATACAGCATTTTAGGATGAAATGAAATCGGTTGAAATGGGTGGCTATTTTTTGTCAACACCTTTGAAGTAGCTACATTTAAGAAATTTCCATAAGGAGAAGAAATAAATTAGTGGAATTGGCATGGCATATTCCTGGTTCTAGTTCAAAGTGAAAGGGAAGGTTTACAAGGGAATATTGGTGCTCTTGTCAACTGTCAAACTATAGGACTAAATTTTCTTTAATAGGAAATACCCAAGTAAAACCACAGATTGTAAATTCATGAGGAAAATGCACCAGAAATTGAAATTCATCTTTTTTACATTAAAAAAAAAAAAAAAAAAAAAACTTCACCAGTAGCTCAGGAAAATCTGTTTTTAAGAGTAAATTATTCAAGGTTACGATCACATTAAAAAAAAAAAAAGTCATCTGGAGGCTAGGAGCTATCTCTGGGTAAATTAACTTGCTGCAGCAGCCTGGTGATCTGCGTTAGACCTCTGCAACCTATACCCAGTGTGCA